CTGAAGCCTTGATAGAGTTCAAGCCTATGAACAAGTTTGAGTCTTCCAAGCCCAAGGGTAAGGGCAGGGACGATAGGGATCAGAAGAAACAGTCCAAGGGGAAAGACCATGACCGAGAGTCTAAGGATGAAAATTGAGACCGTTCAACTAAGGATGGCAAGAGGAAGTCACTAGCAGACAAGTGGAAAGCAAAAAGGGACCGAGAGCCACTAGCATGTTACCTATGTGGAGGGAGCCACATAGCACGTAATTACTCGTAAAAGGGTAAGCTGGCTACTATAGACAAGGAGTCTGACGAAAAGCCAGAGTCAAGGGCAGTAAAGCTTGGGTCGTTGGTGCTCAATACTGTCTAGAGTAAGGGGAGTTGTAAGCCAAAGGGCTTAATGTTTACGGATCTGATGGTTGCGGGTCAGAAGGTGAGTGCACTGGTGGACACAGATGCCTTACATCTTTTTATTTTAGGTGATGGAGCCTGGAAGCTAACACTAAAGGTGCAGAAAGAGATTGGTACCATTAAAATAATGAACTCCAAGGAAGTTTCAGCCATTGGAGTAGTACGAGGAGTAAAGTTACAGCTTGGAGACTGGAAAGATAAGGAGACCATAAAAGTAATACCCCTTGACGACTATGAGTTTGTGATTGGCTTAGATTTCCTTGTTCGGATTAATGCCCTCATTGTGCTTTTTATCGATTGTGTTTGCATCTTGGATGCAAGGTGCCAATGCCTAGTACCATTGAGGAGAGGGTCTGAAGTTGGGTTGTGGGTGGTGTCATCCATCCAATTTGCCAAGGTGGTAAGTAGGGAAGAAGACACCTTCTTGGCAGCCTTGAAATATGATGAGCCAAGGGAAAAGGAGATCGAGTCACCTTTGAGGTGCTAAAGGTGCTGAAAACCTTTAATGATGTGATGTTCGTAAAGTTGCGTAGCCAACTACCACTTAAAAAAGGGGTGGACCACAAGATCGAGCTGGTGTCCGAGGCCAAGCCACCAGCTAGAGCCCTTTACTGAATGTCCCCACCAGATTTGAAGGAGTTGAGGAAGTAGCTCAAGGAGTTAGTTGATACTGGTTTTATCAAGTCATCGAAGGCACCATATGGTGCATTGATTCTATTTCAATGCAAACATGATGGGTCGTTATGGCTGTGCATAGACTACCAGGCTTTGAACAAGCTGACCATCAAGAACAAGTACCTCATCCCACTCATTACGGATTTGTTCGACCAACTTAGGAGTGCAAGGTGGTTCACCAAGCTGGATTTGAGGTCGGGCTACTATCAAGTCAGGATCATGGAGGGAGATGAGCCAAAGACAGCATGTGTCACTCGGTATGATTCGTATGAGTTCTTGGTGATGCCTTTCAGACTCATGAATGCCCCAGTAACATTCTGTACCCTTATGTATAAGGTATTTCAGTAATTCATTGATCGATTTGTTATGGTTTATTTGGATGACATTGTGATCTACAGCTAGACCTTGGGAGAGGATGTAGACCACTTAAGACAGGTGTTCGATGTGCTACGGGTGCATAAGTTATTTTTTTAGAGGGAGAAGTGCTCATTCGCCCAACAGGAGATCCTGTTCCTTAGCCACATAGTGAGAGGTGGCAGGATACGTATGGATGAAGGCAAGGTGCACGCCATCCTGGAGTGGCAACTGTCAGCCAAAGTCATTGAGTTGAGATCATTCCTTGGGCTAGTTAACTACTACATGCACTTTATCAAAGGTCACTCAACAATAGCCACGCCATTGACTGACTTGCTCAAGAAAGAAAGAGCATGGAAGTGGAGCGCAGAGTGCCAGGAAGCCTTTGATAGGTTGAAACAGGCTGTGACAGAGGAGCCAGTCTTGGCCTTGCCAGACCATGCCAAGTCGTATGAGGTGCATGCAGATGCATCAGACTTTGCCATAAGGGGCATGTTAATGTAGGGGGACATCCAGTCGCGTTCGAGAGTAGGAAGCTAAACGAGACTGAACGTAAGTACACGGTTCAAGAGAAAGAAATGACTACAGTGGTGTACTACTTACGGACTTGATGACATTACCTGTTAGGGTCGAGGTTCGTGGTTAGGAAGGACAATGTAGCGACCAGCTACTTCTAGAAGCAGAAGAAGTTATCCCCCAAACAAGTGAGATGGTAAGATTTTCTTACGAAATTTAACTTTCAGATGGAGTACAAGCTGGGGCGGGCGAACCTAGTGGCAGACGCCTTGAGCAGGAAGGCTAACCTTGCTGCCATTAGCCAACCAGAGGGGTCACTGGTGCCACGCATCAAGGAGGGACTTGCGTATGATCCTACAACCAAGGCTCTAATAGAGTACGCCCAATAAGGTAAGATTAGGCGATTTTGGATGCATGATGGTTTATTGTACACCAGGGGCAGTAAACTATTTGTGCTGTAGCACGGGAAGCCCCGTAAGGAAGTTTTGCAAAAATGCCATGATTCAGGTGGGCTGGACACCCCGGAGTGAGCCGTACCTTGGCACTAATCGAGGATTGGTACTACTGACCGCATATGAGGGACGATATGGAGGCCTATGTAAAGATTTATCTTGTGTGCTAACAGGACAAGGTGGAGCTCAAGAAACCAGGCAGTTTCTTGGAGCCATTGTCAGTGCCAGAGCGACCATGGGAGAGTGTTTCTCTGGACTTTATAGTTGGTCTACCCAAAGCAGAAAGGTTTAGAAGCATCATGATAATGGTAGACTGGTTTTCCAAGTATGGAATCTTTATTCCAACAACCAAGGAGTGCCCAGCCGAGGAGGTAGCTCGATTGTTCCTGAAGAACATGGTTAAGTACTGAGGGGGTGCCAAGGACCAATGTTAGTGATCGAGACAGGCATTTCACGGGCAGGTTCTGGACTGAGTTGTTCAAGCTGTTGGGGTCAGACTTGAACTTTTCCACCAGCATGCATCTGCAGACCAATGGGCAAACAAAACGTGTGAATGAGCTATTGGAAGTTTACCTCGGGCACTATGTGAGTGCCACACAAATGGACTGGCCAAAGTTGCTAGATGTTGCTATAGTTTTCCTACAACTTGAAAAGGAGTGAGGCAATGAACCAGAGCCCATTTGAGGTTGTGACAGGGCAACAACCACTAACATCGGGTTCGATTGCTGCATGTTATACAGGGCCGAATTCAGCAACATACAAGTTTGCTAAGGCATGGCAAGAGCAAACTAACTTGGCCAGAGTCTATCTACACAAGGCGACAAAGAGGTCGAAGAAGTGGGCAGACCAGAATAGGTGGGACGTGCAGTTTCAGGTTGGAGACTTGGTGTTGGTGAAGCTGCATCCCATTGTGCGCCACAGGGGGTTGCACAAAGGCGTAGTTCAGAGGTATGAAGGACCTTTTCGAGTAGTCAAGAGGGTAGGCAAGGTTGCCTACAAGTTGGATATGCCTACCAAGCCGAGGTTACACCTGGTGTTCCATGTGAGCATGCTCAAGCCATTCCAAGAGGATGAGGGAGATCCAGGACGGGCAGAGTCAAAGCGTGTGCTATTGGGAGCAAGGGCCTCATATGAGAAGGAGGTCCACAGCATCATAGCTGACCGGGAGGTGAGACGGAAGAACAACCAACCAAGACAAGAGTACTTGGTGCGCTGGAAGGGACTTTCAAATAGTGAGGCGAGCTGAGAACCAGCAGATGACTTATGGCAGTTCGGGGACTAGATCAGGTAGTATCATGCAGAAGATGCAACGAGGGCGTTACGCAATCAGGTGGGGGAGAATGTCACGCCCTAGACGGGCATGCTAGGCACATCAGGCGCACTAGCATGCGAGCCAGAGGTTGAGGCCCATAGACCAGGCATGCTGGCGGGTATTTGCGGGCAAGGCCTAAGAGACGAGGCCAGAACGCCCGCCCAGCTTGCAGGCCAACTTGTGAGACCAAGGTCTGGTATTCAGGCTGCCCGCACCACATCCAGAAGGGCCCAAGGTGCTAGATACGCAAGTGAACATTCTAGAAGCTTGCAGGATCAACAGGAGCCTCCTGGTAGATTTGATTGACCCTAGAAATCAAGAGTTAGAATCCTGATTGATTGTAATCTGTATAATCCCATGATTTTAGCCTTTATTTTAGGGATATTACCATTAAGTGTAGCTGAAGCCTTAACTATAAATAGATGACTGCTCCACCCTCATTTGTACACCATCAAACACTTCTGTTTCAATGAATATATAGCATATTTTAGTATTTTGCCTTGTTATCCTGATTTCTCTTTAACTTACGTAATCAACCCTTCCTATTATTCTAGTGTCCGTACGCTTGTGTTTTAAGTTGATTTAAGCATAAAAGAGGAGATTTCAAGTTTAAAGTCGCACGGATTCTGAGTCTAAGATCGGAGCCCGTGACACTAGCCCTAGCTAAGCTATCTTGAAATATGGGGTTTTAGTTGTGAAAAGATCCAATCCAACAAGAGTGAAAAGAATACCTGAAAAGATAAAAGCAACATATTACATATACGGAGAACATGCACGGTAAGATGAAATCTCCAATTCACCACACCTAAATTAATCAAATCTCACCTTTTTCTTTCTTAGAAATTTATTTAACTTAGCTAAGTCCATCAGAGGAGGGTAATTAAAGCTGATTGAAAGAGAAATATATGGCCTTTCAAAATGAAATTACTAGGATGTGTGTTGCCGATCTCTCAACTTATTTTATTATTTTTTTATAAAAAATATCACAACTTAAAACTATAAATAAAAATATGAGAAAGGATTATAAATGTTCTTTGCTTGTGAAACTCTTATATTCAAATCTTAGTAAAAGGAAAATTTTGGATTCATATTATGAGCCATATTATCATCACCCTCTAAACATTTAATCAAAATTTGCTTTAATAATTAAAATTATGAAATGAATTAAACCATTGCGAGCTGGTCAGCAATGACGACTTTAGAGATTAAGTTGCAATAAAATATCTAGCATATCGAGACAGAAACGCATAAATAACGTGCAATGGGATGGCACAACTTATAGATGGCCGGAGGCTTAGGGAGGACTTTAGGCTTGCCTTCTGGTAATTAATGCTAGCACACTTCTTCTACATGACCCTGAACAAAAGTTAACAATCCAAAGAACTAAAAAGAAAAAGAAATACTGATTTCTTTGTGGAAAAGAACATGGAGAAGACTGAGAAGGATAGTGCTACAGCTACAGATAAACCAAAGGTTAACTATAGAGGAATTAAAGCCATGCCCTTTATCATAGGTGCGGTAGCTCCATTTTTCATCATGGTATTTGTTATTTTTTCTCCTTTATCTCTGATTAATCTTGTATCGATCCATTAATAACTACAGGGAATGAAACTTTTGAGAAGCTGGGGACTACTGGCACCTCAAACAACCTTTTGGTTTATCTCACTACTGTCTTCAACATGAAAAGTATCACGGCTACAAATCTGGTTAATGTTTTCAATGGTACCTGCAACTTTGCTACCTTGATAGGTGCTTTCTTCTCTGATACTTATTTCGGCCGATACAAGACGTTGGGATTTGCTTCCATATCCTCTTTTCTGGTGCCGATTCTTACTATATTTAGGCCTTTATAATTAACTCATGCCAAAAACATCTAATTCTGAAATAATTTTTCCTTTTTCTTACCTGGATGAAGGGAATGGTTCTAGTTACACTAACAGCAGCAGTCTCAAAGTTGCATCCTCCAGCCTGTGACTCCAGTGAAAGTGGAACTTGTCCTGGGCCAACACCATGGCAAATGGCTTTTCTGTTGAGCGGATTGGGACTTATGGTAGTTGGAGCTGGTGGTATCAGACCATGTAACCTGGCCTTTGGAGCAGACCAATTCAATCCTGAAACAGAATCCGGAAAGAGGGGAATAAGCAGCTTCTTCAATTGGTACTACTTCACCTTCACCTTTGCCATGATAATATCTTTGACAGTCATCGTCTACGTGCAATCCGATGTGAGCTGGGCTTGGGGTTTAGCCATTCCTGCGTTTATGATGTTCTTATCATGTGTGACGTTCTTCATTGGTACAAGAATTTATGTGAAAGTGAAGCCAGAAGGTAGTCCGATAACAAGTGTGATTCAAGTCATAGTGGCAGCAGTTCGGAAGAGGCAATTAAAGCAGCCAGAACAACCATGGATCTCCCTTTTTAATCATATTCCGAAAAAAACTATCAACTCCAAGCTTTCTTACACTGATCAATTCAGGTAAATCAACCTGGCTTCTTGATTCAAATTTTTGCACAGCCCCATTTTCCTTCAAAAAACCATTGACATGAGACACTGCCCGGTCTTGCTTTACTACAAAATTGACTCATTGTCAACCTAAAGTGGTCTCCTTTCTTCATAGCTTTCATTCAACGATAATAAAATGCATAATTAATAAATGAAAGGATTTGATATATTAGATGGTTTTCACTTTAAAATGTTTTATATATTTTCCTTTCTTTGACATTCCCCATTTGAACCGATGCTAAAATCTTCCACCTATCAAGGTTCCATATTCAAGTTAATTTGTCTCTATGAATAAAAAAAGACTTTTGAATTAAAATTAAATAATTATTCAAATGTGTATTATTTTATTATAATTTTTTGAATTTTCAAATATTTATTTTCATTCAATTAAATTATTAAACATATAATTTTATTCAATTAAACCGTCTATTGAACAAAATAAATGTTGACAATTAATTAATTTTTATTTAATAAATGTTTTATTAAATGAAAATATATGTTTGAAAACTCAAATCTCAATTGATTGCAAAAAAAAAAAAAAATTTTAATAATTATTTAATTCTAATTCAAAAATTTTTTATACTGAGATTGCATTTGGAACTAAACGCAGCTGCGTTTATTATGAAAATTCGTGTCAACTGCATTGTATAGTGTAAAAATGTGCATTTGGGTAACATGAACGGTACGGTATAAATGGATTTTCACGTGCTGAACCTCAAAATTTTGACTGGTGCTTTGTGCTCCAGTGAGAAAACTCGCCTCTGCCAATTCCTATTTTTCCAAATAAGCCCCCTATTTCATTTTTTTTTTCTTTTGTTTTTGCTCCTGACTGCATAAATGTATTGTTAATTATTGTCTTTTTTTTTTTACTTTGATTTTTTTACTTAAAAGTTTTTAATATTTCTTGCCATTTCCATTTTTTACAAATTTTATTTTGAATAAAAATAATTATTATCTTCTAAATTATTATCAATTTAAATAAATATATTATTAATTTTTTAAAAAATAATTTTTATATTATTATCAATTTTATTAATTTCAAAACATTTAATAACAAAATTATTATTTGAAATAAAAATAATTTTAGTAATTTTAATTATTTATTATTTTTATAAATATCAAATTATAAGTTAAATTTTATTATATATAAGTTTTAATTTAATGTTCTTAATGATCATTTTTTATTTTCATTATATCTCATCTCATTGCTCATGTTATTTTTGCATCCAAACACATATCTCTTTATTGATTTAATCTCATCATTATAATATCCAATCTTACCACTATAGTAATAATTTTACATCCATCGTTGCTGTCAATATTATAAAAAATAATCTCATTGTCCACTCAAATGGACCCTTAATCCTATTGAATCTTATTGGCAGAACCTCCTTGTTTCTTGTTCAACCAAGAAAATGATAATTCTGTCAATTAAATGGAAGCAACTTTGAACTTCTGGCTATAGAATTGCCCCCAATAAAATTTCTACTTATACTTTTCCTACCTGTCAATGTCTTGATCCTAAGGAAAAAAATTAAGAAATGTGTATAGAATCAATTTTGAAACTATTACAACAATTTACTATTGGGATTATAATTTATTCAATTTTGGAAGCTTTATGCATTCAATACTGGCGCTTTCAAACCACCAAAAACATTGACATTTTTTTTTTTATTAAGAAAGTTATAGCTTTAAGTTAGGAGAAAGGATTGCAATTATTTAGATCTGAACTGAGTATGTTGGATGCTATCTCTTAAGGGTGATTATATTAACCACTTGAATTAAACATATTAAAAAATTTATTTAGGCTTCAAAATGCAATCCAGGTTACATGTCTTTGCTAGTTGACACAGCATATAATATCAGTATGAGGCAAAGCTAAATTCTCTGGTTTTTTTTTTTTTTTTTTGGGGGGGGGGGGGGGTAAACAGGTTTCTAAACAAAGCTGCAATACTAACCCCTGAGGATAAAATCAACTTGGATGGATCAGCAGCCAATGCATGGAAACTTTGCAGTTTGCAGAAAGTAGAGGAAATAAAGTGCTTGATCAGAGTTGTTCCCATATGGGCAGCAGGAATAATATACAATGTGGCCATGGTCCAACAGCAAACATATGTAGTTTTCCAGGCCCTTCAGTCTAACAGACGCTTTGGCAATACAAGTTTCAACATTCCAGCTGCATCATTCGGTATCTTCAACATGATTGGCCTTACTATCTGGATACCTATCTACGACCGTATAATTGTTCCATGGCTCCAAAGATACACCAAAAAGGAAGGAGGAATCACACTACTCCAAAAGATGAGCATCGGCATGGTTCTTGCCATAGTCACCATGGTTATATCTGCCATAGTTGAAGATAGGAGAAGAGCCCTTGCTCTCAGCAATCCAATTGGCATAGATTCAAAAAGAGGAGCAATTTCTTCTCTGTCAACAATGTGGTTAATTCCTCAGCTAACTTTAATAGGAATTTCTGAGGCATTCACCATAATTGCCCTAATCGAATTCTACTACAAGCAGTTTCCTGAAAACATGAGAAGCATTGCCGGATCTTTTACTTTCATTGGCCTTGCATTATCTAGTTATCTGAGCAGTCTCTTGATATCAGTAGTTCATAAGATCACAGAAGGAGCTCCAACGGGGGAATGGTTGCCTGAGGACCTCAACAAGGGGAAGTTGGACTACTTTTATTACTTGGTTGCTGCATTGGAAGTCCTGAATTTAGGGTATTTTATAGTGTGTGCAAATTGGTACAAGTACAAAGAAAGTGGTATCAATACCCCAGAAGTTCGCATGGAGAAGATGCAATCTGAAAATCCTCTTGTTTGATACATGACTATCCATTAATGTTGCTATAATCCTTGGGAAAGGGAAGATTATTCAACTTTCCATAGTTTTATATCACTTTCTTATGGTAAAGATGATCTACAAAAGCTGTAAACATGTAGTTGGAACTTTGGTGGATTTTAACTTTTCTGAGATCATCAAAACTAATGTGAGTGACATGAATTACTCTTCAATTGAGTAGAAAATTGTACTTAAAATTATCAAAATTTAAATTCTGATCATTAGAACAAAGAGTTCAATACTCTACCAATAATCAATGCAGCTGTTGATTTCTAATATTTTGTTTTTAAAATTACATTCAACGCAGTTTAATCATATACATAATATTTGATAATATACCCCACAAGCTGAATGATATATAATGTGAAAAACCCTACGAGGCTAGTCTTTTGATTTTAGAGAACCATAAATTTAAGATCAAACAGAAAGCAAAGAGAAATCGATGTTTTCTTTGGTAACCAGGCGTAGTCTTGAACAAGGAGACCACTTCCCTTTATGTTGAATTAAATGGAAGGAAAAGAGAAAAACAAAAACACAAGAAGAAAAGAAAAATCTTACCATGCAATTGCAAGAATATCGAGATGCGATATTATGGATCAAAGAATCTGAAGAATTTTTTATTTTTTTAATGATTTATGAAATTTTAACTGGATATTATATTACAATATTTGAATTAATTATTTGCGAAATGATTACTTTATTTATTTCCAAATTCCAATGTTACTTTACATTGGTTGTTAACCATATTTAAAAACAAAAAATATTACATCGGTAGTTAACTATAGTCTCACCCCACCCTCACGGATCATCGGCTGATCCATGCCATGGAGACTTTGCGGCAGACATCAAATATAAGAGGTGAAATGCCTGTTTAGAGTGCTGCGTATATGGGCATCAGAAATCATTTATTGCGTCACCCTTGTTCAACTACGTAACTATGCTGTCTTCCAAGCCGTTCAATCTGATAGAAGCTGGTTGAGCCGAGTTTCGACTTAAAGGTATTTTGGGAAATATAAAGAAGGGAAGAGAGCTGTTAGATACAAAGGTAAGATATGTTTTTTGTGTTTGTACTCTTATACGTAAGTTAGAAATTAGGATAAAATTCTTCTTATTTTGTCCTATAAATATACCTTTAAACCATAGAACAAAAGGATACAACAATCAGAGAGCAATTGGATAGAAAAATAAAGAAAAAAGTGAGAGTAAGAGTTTGACAGCAATTGGGTGAGAAATTTTGACGAAATTGCCAAGATTTCGGTGTCCAAATTTAGAATCTGGCAACCTACACCTAAATTGAGTTGAGCTGCTTCCCAAGTCTTTCCGGCCAGTTTTATGCCTGCAACCGAGCTCTGCTCCAGCCACCAAGCCGAGCCGTGGTAATTTGGTATTATTTTCTTTTTCTCCATTTTATTTATTTATTTTTTATGAGTTTTGTTTATTTGGTTATTATTTATTCATTTGTGATATATTTCATTGATTTTTTTTTAAATTTTAGGAAAATTGTTAGGGAAGTTAATTTTAAATTATGATAAATATAAAATAAAATTTTAATAAGATTTTGATAATAAATAATAATTATCCTATGATGAAATTTAGAAATTACAAATAGTTAATTTCTAGAAAATTTCTAGGAGATAAATCATTTTTTTTTTAAATTTGACCTAAATAGAGGAAAATTTTAGATAAAGTTTTAATAACAATAATTAATATTTATTTTCAAATTTAAATAAAAAATCTAAATAAATTTAATAAAAATTTTGGAAATGAATCAACAATTATTCTAATTATGAGATTCTTAAAAATTTCAAATGGTAAATTTTCTAAAAAATCTCTAAATAAGAAATTTTTTTAAATTTAACCCAAATAGTGAAATAATTTAGATGCAATTTCAATAAAATAATTATATTTCTTTTTAAATTAAAAATTAAAAATTAAAAATATGACTTTAAAAAAATTTTGATGTGAAAATATACGATGATTATCCAAACATGAAATCTTAAGAAAAATCATAAATTGCTGAATTTTCATAAGATTTCTAGGTAAAAAGTTTTTTTTCTAAATTCAATCCAAATAGTGGAAGGATTTAGCTAAGACTTCAAAAAAAAAATTATCATATTATTTTTTTTAAAGGATAAATGATGAATAAATGGAGACTAAATTTTAGGAAAGATATTTCTAAATTAGGCCCTGATGGTGAAAATTTTAGAAATAAAACTTGTAAAAATAAAATAAATTTCGATGATAAAATTCTTAGTAATCGCAAATAGATGATTATCTAAGAGTTTTCTAGGTGCGAAAATATTTCTAATTTTGACCTAAATAGTGGATAAATCAGATATATTTTCAATAAAACAAAAATTTAATAAAAAATAAATGATTAAGTCAATTTTCGATGACAGGGCCTTTTCAATTAAACAAATGAGATTTTTGAATACTTTTGAGGTGAGAAAGTATTTTAGGATTTTGCTAGATCGGTGGAGAAGTCTTGAAAATTATTTTCAATATTTAAATATTAAAATATATACCATCAAAAGTACGATGATTATTAGGATAATTTAAAATTAAATGATACCATCTTATGATGAGCATTGTGGGGGGTGCTATAACCTTTCTCACATGTAACTGAACTCCTAAACTTAGTTCTGAAATGTAGACCAGAACTTATTTTTTTAGGGATCTTTAGTCAAGCTTAAGACATCTTTAAGAGGATAAATTCATTAGGTGGCCAACTAAAGCTTAAAAAAAAATTGGTGGTAACTTCTTAAATTATATCTAGCTATAGATTTATGTATTTATTCATTATGACAATTATTAATGGTACCTCCCAACTTGGACTAATTTTAAGTTGCCTTTTTTTAGGATTAAATAGATCCAACACCTTACTAATAGAGTCCTAACTCTTAACCATCTAGCCTTTAGATTTTCATCTAATCTTTCAATGTTTGGATAGTAGAATTAGTCGCCTTTATTTGGTTCTACATGGTTTGGACCTGTTGTTGAAGTGTGTTGAACCTAGTTCCTTCTATCATCACTTGATTCTTTTTATTTTTACCTAGGTTGGTTGGATCGTTAAGCTTTGATACCAGTATTGTTATGGATTAAGGAAAAAGAAATAGAATTTAGAAAAAAACTAAGAAAGAAGAGTAGAAAATAGAAGTAAAGAGGAAAAGTGTGATTTCATTTTCATATTTTGAATTTGTTATAAATTGTTTTTTTATAATACATCACTTGTCTATACACTGAATTTAATGACCAATCAAATACATTCAAATGTCATATAATAATTCATTAAGCTAGCTAACAATATTATTCGAATATTGCTCCTATAATAGTAGTGGCTACTCATTTAGCGCCTCCAACGATGTTGCCAGCTCCTTTATCTCCATTCATTCTTCTAGAATCTACCTCTTCAAGTACTCACCTCATTTTTCCTATCTCTACTATTAATTCCTTTCCATTATAAACTGTAGCCTGTAATTTGCCCTTTGCTGTTAATTTAGTTTTTTTACTAGCTATGCATAGCAATTTCATCTCACTAATCCATCATCTTCATATTTTATTCATTATTTTGATAGTTGAAGCACTTTGTTCATTATTCGAATTTTAACCAAAAATAATTATGCCACTTGAAGTCGTGTAATTACCATAGCTTTTTAAACCAAAAATATGTTGGATTTCATTAATTGAACTCCAAAGAAGTTACACCAAATTCAACATTTTTTTTCTCATTAAAATCACTGCTGCAACATGGTTTCATCATGGCTTCTCAGTGTTGTATCCAAAGAAATCGCCAATAGTGTCATTTTAATGAATGGTCATGATGTTTGGGCAAATATTCTTGATTATTTCTTACAGCAGAATGCTCCTCTCATCTTCAAGATTCAATGTTTCATAACTAATCATATACAGAAAAATGATTCAGTGGCAACTTATTACACAACTCTTGAAGTTTTGTGGATTGAGTTAACATTTACATTGTTTATCCCACTTGTTCTTATGGTGCAATCCATGAAATCAATGCTATGCAACAACATGATCGTTTGATCTAATTTCTTATGGGATTTAATGACTATTATGCTCATGAGGGTCAATGATATTCTAAAAATATTCTGGTAATATTCTAGATTGATGATACTATTCTAGTAATATTCCAATAATATTTTAGATTGATTTGATATTAATTTAAAGAATATTAGATATTGATTTAGTTGATTATAGGAATTGATTTAGTCATTATTTCTATTGATTGTATTTTTTTTTATTTTACCTCTAAATAGGCTTTAAGCCTCATTGTAATACACAAATCATTACAATAAAATTTTCAACATTGTCTTTTTTTTCATAGTATCAGAGTTATTTCATGGTTTATTCTGAAGGTGAATCACCTTGGAATAACCAATATTTGCTTATTCTCATCCTTGGTTTATTCTCCTTTTTAAACTACATTTTTTGTTTCTACCTTTCAAATTTTTTGGGTTTCTCTTTCCATCTTCAAGATTTATCTTTTATATTAATACTCATAACTTCCCAAATCTTCATTTTTTTTCAAGAGTTTAATGGTAGGTATTCAATAAAAAATATATATAATTAATTTCCATTATCCTTGATGGAAATAGCTATAATAGGTGGGCTACAGCTATATGTAGTTATCTAAAGAGAATGAAATTATGACTTATTATTATCGAAGAACGTAAAGCACTAAAAAGAAGAAAAAAGAATCTGATAATAAATTTACAAATCAGCTAGAGGAATGGGAAAGTAAAAATCATTGAACTCTGACATGGTTCACCAACACCACTGTTTCTTCTATCAATGTACATTTTGAGTGATTTGAACTTGCTAAAAATACTTGAGATTTTCTTGCTATACAGTACAACTCAAGTATCTTTGCTCATCAATATCATATTTTAACCACTTTATCTCATCTTTGTCAAGAACCAAGTTAGTCAATTGATGATTGTCATTCTAAAATGCAACATTTATAGGATATGCTTGAAATTTCTTAGCCAAAATTCAAAGATGAAAATGATGATGGTAATTTTATTACTTATCGAAATAATATTCGTCTTATTCAATTCCTAATGGCACTTTGAGATGAATTTGAAAATATTAAGTCTTTACTTTTGCACAAAAATCTCTTACCAACTATGGATAATACTCTTATAGAATTGATATATGAGGAAACTTGGTTGGATATGAGTCGAACTTATAGTGTTGATACTATTGTTGCTTTGCTACTTAGAAAAATACTAGCTCTACTTTCCACAAGTCTTGTTCATGATGTGGGAGGACTAATCATTCTGTTTAGAAATGTAAAGCTAAATATCATTATAACGATA